AGTTAACAATATCCAGTTGTATCAGTCTCCAAGGGTTGTCATAATAAAGTACCACTAACGGTGGCTTAAAACAGATTTATTTTGTTTACAGTTCTGGAGGCCAGACGTCCAAAATCAAGTTATCAGCGTGCCAAGACCCGGGGTAGGGTCCTTCCTTGCCTCTCCGAACGTCTGGTGGTGGCCAGCAGTCCTTGGCATTCCTCAGCAGCTTGCGGTACTCGGATGTCTGCCTTTGTCATCACATAGCTGTCTCCTTTCTGTGTCTGTGTCTAAATTTTCATCTTCTTATAAGGACACCAGTCATACTGGATCAGGCCCACCCTACTCTGGGGTGACCTCATCTTTTCACTAATTATATCTGCAAATAAGGTCACATTCTGAGATCCTGGGATAAGGACTTCGACATATCTTTTGAGGGGACATAATTAAATCTGTAGCATAGGTATTGGTCAAATTAGTCTCCAAAAGTTTTAGAATGTTTTATTTATTTATTTGTTTGTTTATTTATTGATTGATTTTTATTGATTTCAGAGAGGAAGGGAGAGGGATAGAAACATCAATGATGAGAATCATTGATTGGCTGCCTCCTGCACGCCCCCTACTGGGGATCGAGCCCACAATCTGGGTTCGATGCCCCTGACTGGAATCAGGAACCAGGACCCTTCAGTCTGCAGGCCGATGCTCTATCCACTGAGCCAAACTAGCTAGGGCTAGAATGTTTTAAATATTCCATTAAACACTGAAGTCTCAGAGTTTCCTCAATAAGTTAAGCATAGAATTACTATATGACCCAGCAATTCCACTCCTGGTGATGGACCCACGAGAACTGAAAACAGGTACTCAAATAAAAACCTGTGCATGAACGCTGAACGTTCACAGCAGCACAGTTCACAATGGCCAAGCTCAAATGTCCATCAGTGAATAAACACAGTGTGTCCATCCACACACCGGATATTAGTCAGAAAAGGAGTGAGGCACTGATACTTGCTATAATGTGAATGGGCCTTGAAAAAAGGTGCTGAGAGAAGCCAGACACAGAAGGTCAGAGTGTGTAACCCCAGGTGAAATGTCCAGAACAGGCAAATCCAGACAGAAAGTGGATTCCTGGTTGTCAGGGGCTGGGG